GGGGGGGGGGGGGGGGGTAGTATCGCATTTGCCGACAACATTTCAGTCGCTAATTTTTCTGGGCATATCGTAATTTGTTAATTCTTTCCGTAATTTTCGTAAACTTAGCAAAATTTTTGCTATGATTATTAATATTACTTTTTATTCCAAGCCACTCCAATATTTTCGCTGACAGCGAAAGCAATTTGCCGATAAATCCGAAAACAATTTTTTTAGAGTCCATGATAAATAGGGGTGTTACACCCCCCCCCCCCTTCCCTCTAACTACACCTCTAGTGATCAGGCCTTAATTCTCCTCTTATTCTCCATTGAACTGAACAGGCAGTGGGCTGCATTTGTACTGGAGCGAGGACTCGTGTCCAAAAAGTGAAGCCAGTCACCAGATCACATCGCTTGATCTGAGTCGAACTACGGAGCTACAGAGTCCATGAGTTGTCGAGCTCTAACCGCAAGTTCGTGTGATAAACTAGGTACTGCCATGGGTAGGTTATGGGTAAATATCAAGATTTTGTTCGCATCTCACTCGATTTTCCGCGATCAAAAAAAAATTTGAAGTCGAAAATTTTCAACTTTTAACAATGACATTTTCGGAAAATTTTCTGTCCGTGGAAATTTTTCTGGAGTGGAAATGACCCTTAATAAATGTATATAAATCTCCAATCGATAATTTCCATCTATAATACCTTCAACTATTATGCCATCGATTGAGATATCAACAAAATCTTGGCATAATCTGATCCTTAATCCCATTGTATACACGTAACCCGAGGAAACGGTCCAATGACACATAGAAACAATGTCACAAGGGAAAGAATGCAACAAACAGCACAATATGTAAATTCAATACACAAATTTACATATATAACTAATAATATGAATTAATATTAACGTTAACATTAAGGTTAATTACAGCCAGGAGCGCAGTATAATGACAACTTTGATTCGTTAGCTTAGCGTATTTTAATGACAATTAAAGGCTAATTTCCACTCAGAAAAATTATCCGTGGATTGGAATGGACAAGAAAATTTTTCTTTGTCTTGTGAGCTCTGGGTTAAGAACGCGAGTTTTTTTCGCTGTTTGAAGAAAGAAACTAAAACAAACTTGCTTTAAACACGATGGCATGGGAAACTGCTGCCATCGCTGATGCTTCTGACGTGTTGCTCTCACGCGAGGCTCCACTTTCTACCATTAAATGACTGTCAGCGAGGACAATATTGCCACCCGTATACCACCTGCACAAGTCTGTGATTTAGGCGTTGTCACAGATACAAAATGGCTTTAAATATAGCTTTAAATCCTGACTAATTTCGCTCATACGATGGCTTGTTGCGGTGGCGGTTATCCGGAAGATCGTTTTCAAACTTCAGTCGATAAGAATTTCTTATGTCCAATCTGTACGGATGTATTGAAAGACCCAGTACAATGCCACAACCAACACCTTTTCTGTAGAGCCTGTATAACAGAGCATCTGAAGAATTCCCAGACGTGCCCCGTTTGTATGGAAAAACTCACGGAAGAAGCGTTATCCAAGCCACCAAGAATTGTGACAAACATTCTCGATGGTTTGATGATCAATTGCGACAACAAGGAACGAGGCTGTGTTGAATTGGTCGAGCTTGGCCTTCTTGAAGCTCACATTTCCGTGTGCGAGTATAAACCTGTAACGTGTCCTAACGAAAGATGCGAGGCTGTTGTAAACATGGCAGATTTAGAGGAACACACGAGCGAGGTTTGTGAATACAGACAAGTATTTTGCGAAGAATGTGATGAGAACATGTCTCTCAAGAAATATAGAAAACATGGCTGTTTAATAAGCAGAGATGTTCAGACAATCAAGGGAGAATTGTTTCAAGTGCAACATCAAGTTAAAGAAATTTTTAACACGCAGAAAGAAATGCTCGAAGTAATCCGAAGTCTTACAACCACTGTTAATAAAAGGAGCACAGGAAAAGTGAAAGCAATGCCCAGACGTGACACAAAACCACAAGGGAACATTGTTGTCATTGGTGGACAAATTGGTATTACGATGAGCAGCAGTTGCCTCAATTCTGTTCAAGCGTACTCCCTGGCCAATCAAACGTGGATCAAACTACCACCAATGCAACAAAAAAGAGCAGCTGCAACCGCACATTTCCACAATGGCCGAGTCATGGTTATTGGGGGGTTTTGTGGTGTGCGCAGTGTAACTAGGACTATAGAGTACATCGAAATCCCTGAAGAATTTCAAGGCAGAAGTCAGCCAGAGGTAACCAATAGAGCTTACCAAGATGAACTTTCTTCACTTCAATGCCAACTGCCGTTGGAATGCTGTGGTCACAAGACAACCATCCTAAATGATCATCTGTGGCTTGTTGGAGGCTGTGACACTGATAATCAAGGGCAGTCCTCAAACACCATTTCCATGACACCTATTCACTCAACTGGTACCTTCCAGATCAAGTGCAGAATGCCAAAACCACTTTCCTACCATGCGTTGGAAGTAGTTGACAATGAAATTCTAATCATGGGAGGATCAACAACTGGTATGGCAGATGATGTTGTTAGCACTGTTTTGTCATACAATACAGTCACTAATGCGCTCAGAGAAGTGCACCCACTTCCATTTCCGATGGCTGATATGGCAACTGTTAAACATGGTGATGATGTAATCATTATCGGAGGAATAAAGAAGGATCGTGAGTATTTGAACACAGTTTTCAAGTACAACCATAAGAAGCGTATATGTGAGCAATTACCAGGAATGAAACACAATAGAGGAGAATGTGCCGCTGTTCTTTCTGGAAACAAAGTGTTCGTGATGGGCGGGTGCAATGACAAGCAAGGATGCTTAAGTTCTGTTGAATGCTTTGATCTTGAGCGTCAGGTTTGGCATGAACTTCCATCCATGAGTGAAGCAAAATATAAAATAGCTGCAGTTTTAGTGCCTTAAGACTATTAAGGGATTGCCTTTGCCACCGTTACAACCAGGTGATCTCGTGTTCGTATTTTAGCCAATCAGCGCTCAGAAAGGGTTGTCCGAATAGAAATCCATTTTGATGTATTCAGTCAATTATATCTTTCGTTATTCTTTATGAAACTAGTTGAAATTTTGTAATTATGTTTGGTTATGAGAACTATAGCTCTAACAAAAATATGGAATCAAAATAAAGTATATTACAGGAGATATTCAGTTGTTTTAATCATAAAATGGATTTCTATTTGACAACTAGTGCCAGTACTTTTCCGCGTATCAAGATCACCTGGAAAGATAGGGAGTGCACTATAACAATGTCATATTTTGTACCATATGTAAATTATCTTTTCAAACACTCATTAATATTAAATTCATGAGAAAAACACAAAGAAAAATCATAAGCGTGTCGTATCTTTATACGTGATAGAGATTTCCCTTGATTTACATAAACTTTAACTTTGATGTCGTAACTTATATACACAACAGTCATCATAGTTTTTGAAAATTACTTCGCCAATGAACTTACTAGATCGATCGTTTTTGAAGCAATTTAAAACATTCGCAGTGCGCGTGTTTTATCAGACCTAAAGATACTCGGCTTCCCCTCTACGACTACGTATCTTTATATTTGATAAAACATTGCTGCTCATGTTTTAAATAGTACTTAAAATATCATTAATAATTCATAAACCTTGTGGCAAATCATGTCAGCCATAATATGTCACGTGGAGTGACTTCATATCTGATAAAGCATGTGGCATTATATAATTGTTCATCCTAATTAGTATGATTATATAATGTACATCCTAATTAGTATTCTTTTGTAGTCGTATTTTAAGCTATTTAAAGCACGAGTAGGAGTGTTTATCAGACATAAAACGCTCGGCTGCGCCTCGCGTGCGTTTTATATCTGATAAAACACTCCTTCTCGTGTTTTAAATAGTACATACTTTAAGATGGGATACTTATTAGGGGCTGTTTACATGAGCCCTACAGGGAGGGCTGGCCCTACTAGGCGAGATCCCTCGTATTACTTAAAATCCCTATTAAAAATTGTTTACGTTTACATGAGAAGAGGGCCAGCCCTCCTAGGCGAGATCTCGCTTTTGTTGACCCGAGATCTCGCCTAGTAGGGCTGGAATTTTCTCATATAAACGCAGTAGAGTGGGCTGGCCCTCCTAGTAGGGCTGAGTGAAAAAGCCGTCGAATCGATTTTAGACTAAACACTTTGAACTTTTTTTGTTTTAAGGATGTAGTTCTAAACGGATATTGGCGGATATTCAAATGTCTGTTGGCTTTTATTCCAAATCTATTGGAAAGAATAGGGATGAGCCAATTTCTTCATTTAACTGGGTGGTTTTTATATTACCCGTACGACACATAGAATATTACACTCAAAGAATGTAACCCAGTTTTACAACTAGGGAGTACACTGTTACTTAACAATGTCATATTTTGTACGGTAGATGAGCTATAGACGCCCTGGGCATTTATTACATTTTTGTACTTTAATTCTATTGTTCTTTATAGTTCTTAAATTTTTTTGATATTGTATTGTTGCAGTGCATTGTGGTCTAATCTAGGTGATTGAAGTTTTAAATATTGTTGTTGCTGCTGCTGTTTTTGCTGCTGTTGTTTTTCTGCTGTTGTTGTTGCTGTTGTTGTTAATGGTGTTGTTAATTGTTGGCATTGCTGTTGTTGCTGCTGCTGCTGTTGTTGTTGTTGTTGCTGCTGCTGTTGTTGCTGCTGTTACTGCTGCTGCTATTGCTGTTGTTGTTTTTGCTGCTGTTGTTGCCGTTGTTGCTGCTATTATTGTTGCTGCTGTTGCTGTTGTTGTTGCTGCTGTTGCCAGAGGCGCACATTCGAAAAAAATTTGGGGGGTGCCTATGTTCTGGGACCGACTTTTGTAGTATTTGTGTTAGGTAAGAAAAGCCAACTATTTAAAGCGCGTAGACGGTAAGACGGAGATAGTATTCCAAGAGTAAAAATAAACGTTCAGTTTTTTCAGAACTTTTGCAGTTGTCTAAACTTTTGGATTGGGGGGGGGGGCGGGGGCAAAATTTTTATGGATTTCGGAATGCGAGCGCGAGGAAAATTTTGAATTTCTAGATTCATTAATTAGAACGCTATTTCACGTATTTTAGGACGAGGTTTAAAGAAAAGTTACGACCACAAGAAAGGAATTTTTAAGCTAATCGCCTAATGTTGTTAGATCGAAAAAATATTTATGTAACTCATAGTATTGACTTTATTGTACACGCAGTACAACAGCAAAATAGCATGATGTTTTCGTTTTTGTAGAAGTCGGTTATGAGTGTTGCTCTGGGCGCAAATTCAAGTTCAAATGTGCTTTAAAGCAACCGTAGGCATTTTTTACTGGAGTTAGGATTCTAGGTAGGGAAGACTTCAACTTTTATTGGCAACAGAAGAGATGGGTATCATTATTCACACATTGTACCCCCCCCCCCAATTTCTGCCCGGATTTCAACTTCCCACAAGGGCAGTCCTTATGCCCATTGCTGAGCCCCCCTAGCCCCCATCTTGGCTACGCCGCTGACTTACTTCTGCCTTCCAAAGTTTTCAGCTTTTGCGACAAAACTAACGGCAATGCGCATTTTATCTGCACCGCGGGGGCTTGAGGTAATCGCATTACGTTGGCTGAACTGTTGCAACACGGAAGTTGATTATTTGCTCGATCTTGGTTTGTGTCAGTGAACTCTAATTTGTGTATGTCTCATTCGTTTTTCTTTGTCTAATTCGTTTTTCTTATGTTTATGCAACTTCCATTTCCAGAATGTCCACCTTTTACTTTTTTCGAAACAAAATCATATCTTTCAGTTTTTAGCCGGACCGACTTTTTCGTCCCATTCGGTTTTTGGGACCCGACTTTTTAGATATATTTCACAAAACATGGGGGGTCACACCCCCCTAATGTGCGCCCCTGGAGCCTGTTGCTGCTGTCGTCCAAGAAACGTCAAAGTTTGAAACAATGAACAAATGTTTCCTGATTTAAAATTTATGCACATCTCGCGGTCATGCAATAAAAAAAACTCGATAAGGCCATGTAAAAAAATCCCTGTTTATCATCAGTGGCAGCAGAAAAAACCCGTGCGGGCGGGAGGTTTTTTTATTTTTTACCGAAAGAGTGACGAAACACATTTAGTAAGTTGCACGGAAAAAATATGCTCAAACACGCAGCACATTGTTATGATATAATATATTCAATGCTATTACACTTTTCATTATTAAATATTACAATTGCCAATTAGCCTTTCTCGCGATGACGAATATCCGCCATTTTTGGGTGGCATCAAATTTTCATTATCCAATGCAGACAATTAAAACAATGTGAAAAGCAATTTTTCAAAATAAACTAACCATTTACAAAGCAATTTTACCATCATTCGTCCAAAAAATTATAAAAAGTCGCTGTTATGTGGACTTATCGCACAGACTTCAGCTGGAATGCCACCCAAAAATGGCGGCGTGAGAGAGTCGTGTTTTCAAAATGGCCGACCATCTTGAAAATCTCGCGTGGGTTCGTCGCACCAAATAATGATTTTTTAAAAATTAAAAATAAAAAAAAATCCATGCGGCAGGAAAAATGGATGCGGGCGGTGATGATAAACCGGGATATTTTTTTACATGGCCTAAAAACAAAAAAACATGAAAAACATGGTGACATTTTATTGCACATGCGCAATTTGAACAGTGCGTACGTTTAATATTAGAGTCCCGTAATAATTGGAAAGAAAATGGTAATATATTAAGACAGTTGTCATTTCATTCGAATAATCGAATTCTCTCTTGTAATTTTGTTGCATATTTCGCATAGTATTTGCTATTGTGCATTTTTTGTAAATTTTTTGGTCCTTTTTGGACTTTTATATTATTTTAATAAAAAAGTTGCCGTAATGAAACTTTTGAAACAAAAAGCTCAATCCCTACTGTGACAACCCGACTATATAAAAATTTTATAAGATATGCAGACCAAATAACTAAATTGCTTTAAAGGCACAGTTCAGCCTGTTGAACGATGGTTTTTAAGGCGCATTTCAGCCCTTTTAATTGAAAAAACTAACTAGGAAAATCAATTAAGCATAATTCAAGATCACCAAACTTAATGTTTTTAACATTTTAAAACATTTATATTGTTAAAAACATCGAGTTTACTGATTTTGAATTATGTTTAATTGATTTTCCTAGTTAGTTTTTTCAATTAAAAGGGCTCAAATGCGCCTT